AGAGTCACGTGATCTTCCCCCAGCCCAACTACGCGGACACGCTCATCAGCCAGGAGAGCTGTGAGAAAAGTGAGTCCTTCCTGGTATCTCAAGATTTACTGGAAACGAAAGGAGATCCCAACCTACTTCAGGTAAGTTTATTTCTTTCTTGGAATACTATGAAGAACAATTATGCCAGTGTGGCTAATATAAAGATTTAATGCACATTTATTTGAAAATAAAACAATGTGGTAGTCCTTAGTTCTGTTGCTTAAGTATCTGTTTCTTCTTCTGGGCCTATGGTAGAGCTGATCTTCCTGACCTGGTTATGACTGAATGGGCCTAAGTAATCAGTTCTGGCCAATATGTTGTAAATGCAAGTAATATGTGCCTCTCCCTGGAGGAAGCTCCTGTTGGCATTGTAAGAATTTCCAGATCTCCAAGTTATTTTTTGAAATTGTGACTGTTGCTTCTACCTGAGTGCTTGAACAACTATATCAAGAGAAGATCTCTGTGGTTGTCATACATTGGTGTGTATACCTGTGATAAATAGACTTTTTTTCATTTTAACTTCTTGTGATTTGAAATTTGTCACTCCAACCTACTTAGCTTATCCTGACTGATATAAATAAAAATATAAATATTAGGTATTTTAGGCTCCTGTAAAATGATGCTTGCTCTTTCCAAGCCAGGCCACACTCTTTTCATCTCAATGACATAAAAACTGTTGAGTAAAAATATATACAGCTTGGTTAAGTGGTTTTACCTGGCCTGTATTCCCTACTGTGTATACCTAAAGTATGTGTGGGTGTATGTGTGCATTCATATTGATTTCAGCCTTTTGTCTGAAGGTGGGGAGGTCAATTGCCTAAACTGATATGAGTCTTGGAGGGACATTTCTCGTCCTTTGAGAAGGATTTTAAAAAATGCAAGGAGATATGTCTCAGCCTCAGCAGGACATTTCCAGATCAGCTACTCCAACAATAAAATAGAGTCCTACAACTTTCTTGAGCCAGAAATTGTTGGCCCATTTTGAAATTTATGAAATTATTTTCACCTATGAAATCACCTCAGAGAGTCATCCAAAATGAGACCAAAATATATTTCATTAGATTTCAAATAAAGGAACATCTCTCTCCCTCAATATATTAGAAAGAGATATATTCAAGAGTGTGAGATGCAGGGCTTGAGCAAAATAACTGAGAGCAGGGAAAGGTGTATTTTCACTCAAACATGCAAATACATCACAGAAAAAAGGCACATGATCTTCAAAATGTCTTCTTTAAGGAAAAATCTTTATGATGTGATAAAGTGATATTAGTATCACTTTCCCCATAATGAGAAAAATTACTAAATGGGTAGTGCCAGGGAATTTTAGGTGCTCAAAGCGAATTTTCTAAGAATCTTGATAAAACAAAGCCTAAATGTTGTCAAAGTGTACAGAGAGTACAAAGGCAGTACAATTTCCATCTACTTGTATAGATAATGAAAGGTCTCAGACATTCCATTTCACTAAAAAGGATTTTCTTAAGGATGGGCAAGAATTCATTTACATAGAAAGGGGAACAGCAAAAGGAACAGAAAATATAAATTCATGACATAGAGAAAACAATGAAAATAATGTCTTAGGAAAACAGATAATAGTCTGTTCTGACTGGAGTGTAATGTGAGTATGTATTATTCTACTGCAAAACAGTAGAATAAATCATTACATTGGTATCTAATTTGGTAGTGCATTTGAAATAAAGGTATTTGTTTTAGTTACCCAAGATGAGTTCAAGATTACAGGTTAAGTTCCAAAATTGAGTATCTAAGGACTCTCAACACCTCTCCAAGATTTACCAGTGATCAAGTCAAATTCATTATACTTACTAATGGTATAAATCAGCTGGAGCTGAGTATTGGCATTATGGAGTATTGCATATACATTCATATAGTAAAAAGCACTGATTTCATAAAAATAAATATAGCATTCACAAGATTGAGCTGTATAAAAGCATGTGTACTAAATTGGTCACTTTTTAAAAAGATTTTATTTATTTATTTGATAGAGAGAGACACAGTGAGAGAGGGAACACAAGCAGGGGGAGTGGGAGAGGGAGAAGAAGGCTTCCCACGGAGCAGGGAGCCTGATGCAGGACTCGATCCCAGGACCCTGGGATCATGACC